AACATAGTCAAAGATATTCAGGGAACGCTTTTTGTCTTCGCTACTGTTTTTGGATATTCCAAATTTTCTTGTGTGATAATTTTTGATTTTCCGTTCAAAATCCGCCTGTAGGGGGACATGCCCGACCTAACCCTGGCGCGCTCCGCGCGCCAGGGAAGGGGGGGGTCCAGCGCAGATCCAAGGAATCCGTGCGGACCGTCGAACGCTTATGCTCATGCCAGCTCCTGTTCCTCCTTCATTGAGTGTGCCCCCCGAGGTACCGATGCGCCGCCAAATACTCCCTGGATCTCTCCTGGGGTGCGTTCTGACCAGGATGTCGAGGCGAATCCAGCGGTTGCGCCGAGGGCCTCCGAAGGAGGCCCCAAAAGGCGAACGCGAGGCAATGGCAGCAGTACCGGTAGCTTTTCCTCCTCTGACCCCAGACGCCGTGATTTTTGTCGCAACGTCGACCCCTAGAGGTCCCGACCCCTTCCGCGGGACCGGTTTTGCATCCCGACTCGTTCTTTGACGGTCCCGAGGCCCGGTGAGGGCCCCCGGAGGCCAGACTATAGCGACAAACCTCGCGTCGTGATTTGTGCTGCTCACAGCGCCAGAGGGGGCTGGGTCTGACCCCCCCCTCCCGCGCAGCCGCAACAGCGGCACTGTGCCGCAGCTGGCCAGCTGCCCCAGCAGGTACGCGGGGTCCACCCTGCCCGGCGTCTCCTGCAGGAGCCCCGGAGGCGCGGCCGCTGCGCGGGCCAGGGGCCAGGGCGTCCGACCACGGCGGGAGCCGAGGGGGGCGAGTAGCCTACTCGCCCCCCTCGGGGAGCGAGTAGGAAGAGGACGTCTCTTGGGACGTCTCTTGAGGTGGGGGGGGCGCCCCGTGAGCGAGTAGGAAGGAAGAGGAAGAGGAGGAGGAGGAGGAGGAGGAGGAGGAGGAGGAGGAGGAGGAGGAGGAGGAGGGGGAGGAGGAGGAGGAGGAGAGGGAGGAGGAGGAGGAGGAGGAGGAGGAAAAGGAGGAGGAGAGGGAGGCGGAGGAGGAGGAGGAGGAGGAAAAGGAGGAGGAGGAGGAGGAGGAGGAGGAGGAGGAAAAGGAGGAGGAGGAGGAGGAAGAGGCGGAGGAGGAGGAGGAGAAGGAGCGAGGAGGAGGAGGACGAGGAGGAGGAGGAGGAGGAGGAGGAGGAGGAGGAGGGGTGAGGAGGAGGAGGAGGAGGAGGAGGAGGAGGAGGAGGAGGAGGAGGAGGACCAGTGCAAACACAAGACTCGTCAACGATGTTGGAACATACATTCCCTCCACGCTCCCTCTCCATACGCCTCTACAAGGACTAGTGCCCACTGTAGGAAATGCTCCGTAGGGAGAAACCCATTTGAAGATCCTGAAACGTGTCAAAACACCATTCTCATGACTTCAACGTCACGAGTCAACCTGACTGTTGCGTCTTGCCTACCCTGAACCCTGCCAGAATACTATTCCTGGGACTTCAACACCGCGAATCAACGCAATTGGTGCGCCCTGACAATCCTGAATCGTTCCCAAACGCTATTTCTGGTACGTTAACTATTGGAACCAATGAAACTCGTGCAACTGTTGAAGACAAATGTGCGCGGCGCTCAGGCGAGAACCATATTTTGAAAAGAACCTGCCCTCAATTCGTAAGGCGAGAGTCACATTTTGGAAATGGCCCGACCTCCATCTGTGAAGCTGTTGCCAATCTTTAAGCTTGAGACTCATACATGGTAGGACGTCTCAAGCGAAACGCCCGGCCCGCCCTTACGACTGGCCTCGGGGTGCGATAGGGAGGAGTTATTCAGAAGGAGAAGGAATGGAGGAGGAGAGAAAGAAGGAGAGAGGGGAAGAGGGCGGAGACTACAGTGCTCCGTTCAAAACGAAGACCCCGAACACGGGAGGGAGGCTGACAAACACGCACGGGCGAGGAGCGATGTTGGAGGTGGAGGGAGGCGCACCGCATGTGGAGTTGGGCGTCTTTGTCCGCATCCTCTTGCGTGTTTGTTCCGCAAGCCCCTCGGCCCAAGCAGCCCCAGGGTGCGCCAGCGACGCTGCCAGGCAATGACATCGGCGGCGCGCCGAGACTGGGGGAAGCGAGAGGGAGCCCGCCGTCTCAGAAGGCGGCGGGGCTCCCCAGAAGCCCTCCGGCCTTCCGAGGAGCTCGCTGTGCCCTTGGACAAAAGCGCAGAAAAAGCCTCTCGGAAGGCCGGAGGCCCCCCGAGCCTTCTGCGAATACCCGCCCCCTCTGCCCCCCCCCCCCATGGGCGCGCCGCCGAGTCGAGCTGCAATCGAGCCTGGGACACACAAACAAATACACACAAGCAAAAGGATTCCCCTATATGTTCTTGTATTTTCTCGGTTTTTGTCTCACCCACCACTTCCCATATCTTCCCATATTTTCTGGGGGATGGAAGACTAATTGTGTCTGTGTGTTTCTTCCCCTCCTGAACCCCAGGCGAAGAGCCGAGCTCCCCGACGTCCGTGGCGACGCCGGCGGCGAGTGCTGCTCAGACTGCTGCCTGTCTTCGTTCCCGCTCTTTCCGTACCTAAGTCGGGCGTGTCCCCCTACAGGGGGGTTTTCGACGAGAAACAAAAAATACCCCAACAATGCTCCAAACTTGCCAAAACATATTCGAAAAATAGTCCCCATAATATTGTTTACTATTTTTGAATGTTCCCCCTGTAGAGGGACAAGCCCGACTTAAGCCCAGGCCTGCAAAGTCCTGATTTTTGCAGTGCACAGACCTCCTCGCGTTGCGGGAGGCTCTTCACAGCTTTCGGCCTCCGGGGGTCCTTACCACCAGGCCTCGGGGCCGTCCACAAGAAACTACAGCACTACAGCAGGAGGAACAAAAGAGAGATCCTGGGGAAGGGGTCGAGATCTCCGGGGATCGACGCTGTGAAACATTAGATTTAAGTGGGGCCTGTCCCCCTACAGTGGGATCTTCGACGAAAAATAAAATGTATCCTAAAAATAATCCAAAAATAGTCCCAAAATAGTCTGGGGACTATTTTTGGAGTATCTGTTGACCTTTTTGGGGCATCTTTGGGTTTTTTTGTTTCCCCTCCCCCATTTTTCGTCGAAAATCCCCCTGTAGGGGGACAGGCGCCCGACATAACATTAGATGTCGGGGCTCTGGCTGCGCGGTCCCCCAAGTCCCCACCCTTCCCCCGCGACCCTTGACCCGCGAGACCGGCCGCGTCATACGAGCATGCGCGCAATGCGAACCCTCGAAACCAGCGTGGAGTCATGTACGTGTACGTCCTTCTTTCGCTCCTGACAATATCGGGAACGGCCAAGAGGGGGGTGTCCAAGAGGGGGGGGTGCAAATCATGACCGGCGGCATGTGCGCGGCCCAGCGGGGGGCCGGGGACGTAATGAATCAAGAAGAGGCGCCCTGAGATCTGGGGAGATATCATGGCCCCCGCCATGATATCCACCCCCCCCTAGTCATCACCCCCCTCTTTTCCGCCCCCGACAATAGATGTCGGGGGTCTGGGTGCGCGGTCCCTGAAGTCCCCACCCTTCCCCTGGGGCCGGTCCGTCGTCCTGCAGCGTCCTTGCATGACCCCGGGGCTGGCGAGGGCCTCCCGATCGGCCAGCACGAGGCTCCCGGCAGGCCCCCCCCCGAGCGGTGCCCAGAAGCCCCCGGGGGCGCCTCGAGGAGACTTACCAGCCTCGAACGTGTCCCTATCCCTAAGATTGACACGCCAAGAGGCGATGACAATCTCAGGGATTCGCCCTCACAAAATAAGGGAATCCCTAAGATCGGCATCGTGATGAGGTGCCCAGCATAGGGATAGGGATACGTTCCAGGCTGGTAAGAGACCCCAAGAAGCATCCATGAGGACTCTCACCCACGTCCGCGTCGTCGTCGTCCTCGTCGTCGTCGCCGCCGCCGCCGCCATCGTCGTCGTTCCCCTTCGGGGTCGGCGGCGCCCGCCATATAGGGCCTTCGAAATCGTTGTGCGACTGTCCCCCGGGGGCCGGCGAGGGCCCCCCCGAGGCCGAACACGTGGGCCCCAAACTGCCAGCCGCGATTGTGGCAGGCCGCGATCACGTCTGGGTTCTATCCCCCCTCCTCCTCCTCCTCCTCCTCCCCCTCCTCCTCCTCCTCCTCCTCCTCCTCTTCCTCCTCCTCCTCGTTCTCCCGAGCGGGGGCCCACAAATTCTCTGAAGGGGCCGCCGGCACTCTCAGAGAAGGCCGACCCGCCGTCGCGCCACCGGCATCGGAGAGACGCCCCACGCAAGTTCGGGGGGCTCGGCTTGGCCGGAATGGGGCCACCGTGAAAATGACCGTAGGCCCAGTCGGAAGCCTGACGCGCGCTGCCGCTGCAGACACCCCACGAGGGCTGGGCCGTCCAAACCCAGGACGCGCTCGCCAGAAAAAGCGTCGGCGAGCCCGAGCTCGGGCGTGCTCGAGCCTTGTTGAGCAGGGACCGACCGTCCAGGCATTCCTGTAGGCCTACCACGAACCGTTCTTAGAACCCAGCGATGTTCTAAGATCACAAACAAGATTCTTGGAACATGAGCCCGATGCGTTAAAACAAGACAGCCTCGGGCAGACATGTTCTAAGAACATTTCCTGCAGACCACAAAACGTCATCCTTTGGTGGGCCTCTAGGCGAGCCAGGACGCTTCGCTACTGCTTGACCTTGCGCTTCCCCCACCTCCGGGGGGGCACCTCGGCGCTGGGCCCTGGGGCGCCTCCCGCGGCGGCTCGGTGCCCTGCGCCGACGCGCCCGCGCGGAAGGCCGCGTTGGCCCCGTCTCCTGCGGCTCGACGAAGTGGCCAGAAGCGCCCGCCCCAGGGGGCGCGCTCGTGCCTGGACCTCGAGAGGGGGCCCGGTCCCAGGAAAGGCGGGGAGAGCCTCCATCGGTGCACGGTTCCCCCTGGGGCCGTGGGCGACCCGAGGAGGAGCGAGGAGGAGGAGGAGGAGGAGCAGGAGGAGGAGGAGGAGCAGGAGGAGGAGGAGGAGGAGCAGGAGGAGGAGGAGGAGGAAGAGGAGGACGG